TATCAGAGCTCCTGGTACCAAGAGCATACTATAGTAGTTGTGATCACAGACTATAACTTGAGTAATATCTAGGGATGTGCTGGTAGTATTTAACCTCCAGCTCTCTGGGGGAAAACAGGATTTTGTAGCATTTGCTGAGGTGTTAATACTCTCACCGTAACAGTCTCAAGGTGCCAACCAGACGTCATTGGATGCAAAGCTGGAAAGAGATGCCCACAACTGGCTCTCGCAAGCTGAGGTGAGGTAGCTCCAAAACACCAACTTGTACTATTGGACCTAATAATGGCAGAATAATTATTACCAGCAATAAATAACCTACTTTAGACAAAAATCGTAACATTCAGAACTGCTTCACAATCTTATTCTGTGAGGATTATGTGATTTTAGTTGGTTTGAAGATGCATAGTTTACAGTGAAAGTTGGACATAGCCCTGACTATCAAAACTCTGGAAGCCCAAGCTCTTAATCATTAGGGTAAAGATTATAGGATGTTGTTAAGTTACTAAAACAAACTTGATTTGCTTATTTAAACATTTGGAGATTTAATGTTTTTAAGGGTAAAAGAACCCTTTCAACCTTGTAACAGAATCTATAAGCAATTCAATGGAAGGAGAAATATTAGACTTTAAAAAGAAGACCACTGACTATATTCACATGTCTTTTTAGGAACCTATCAAGAATACTTTGTCATACACCTAGAACTGGATTCAGTAAGAGCTTCATTTTGCTTTTTACAAAAATGAAAACCCAGAAGAGTTACAGAATTCATCTGGGTCACTTGGACAGAGTCGTTACTATGTTAACACCAATCAATGCTCTTTGTCTTCTAAATACTGAACTTCAACACTAGCTTGTGAATTTTAAGAAATAATTCAGTGTAAGTGAAATAATCAGATACATAAGAATGCTCATGTTTTAAAATAGAGAAAAATTGGAAATAGCCCAAATGTTCAAAATAAAGGGAATGTCTAAATTATAGCATGTGAATTTGATACTGCATGCAGCTACTAAAATATTCTTTGAAAAGAAATATAATCACAGGGGTTATGTGGGAGGAAAAAAAGAGTTGAAAGTTTATATATGCAGTGGGCTTCCAGTTTTTACTTAAAATATCTATTTTATTCCTGGAAAACAAGATGGGAAGAAAAACATCCAACTATCACAAATGACTGAGTAGTGGCTGGGCGTGGTGGCTCGAGCCTGTAATCCCAACACTTTAGCAGGCCGAGGCAAGCGGATCTCCTGAGGTCAGGAGTTCGAGACCCGCCTGGCCAACATGGCGAAACCCTGTCTCTACTAAAAATACAAAAATTAGCCAGACGTGATGGCAGGCGCCTGTAGTCCCAGCTACTCGGGAGGCTGAGGCAGAATGGCTTGAACCCGGGAGGGAAAGGTTGCAGTGAGCTGAGATCGCATCACTGCACTCCAGCCTGGGTGACACAGTGAGACTCTGTCTCCAAAAAAATAATACAAAGACTAAGTAGCGAACTTGAGATTTTTTTTATCATTCTATTTTTCCAAACATTCCAAAAACTCTACAAAGATGTTTGTAATTAAAACAATTTAACATACAAGGAATTCTTTGAAAAGAATGTACACCTCAATTCCTTCACTTCCTTATGTTTCTCAAAGTTCACCCATTTCGTATTTTGCTGAAACTTGACAGTTCCCACCAGCTAGAGCCAGTCATGTTGTTGTACCTAACTTGCAGCAGCAAGGAGAGGGAGAAGCCTCCCGCCGCCAGCAAGAACTCAGGCTGGGGTGGCAAATAGGCTTTCCCCTCCACAGCAATTTTTCAGAAATTACATCTCAAACCTTTCAAAAACTAGACTGGCCTAAAGAGCAGCCAATTAATTGAATTTAAGTTTTAAGGCACATTATTGAAAGTGCCACTTTTTAGATTGTTACATCAAACACAATAAAACATGATCACAAAACTGCTTGGTGCAGTATATGTAAGCCTAAATCATAAGGAAGTGATGTAAATCTGCCTTAGAATTTAAGCTTTTCAATTCTATCCCCATTTTATAATATTTTCAATATTGTGATTAAGTATTATACAAGATAATTAATTCTACTATGCAGGTTGCTTAACAATCTTTGGGATTGGCAGGTGTTTGGGGAAAGCTAACAGATCTCAATCGTTTGAGATTATGAATGTTGACAACAGGAATCCCAGCTATCATTGATTCTGCTGGCATTTATCAGGGTGCCCGATCATTAGACTTACTCACCAATACAGCTGCAAAAATCCTACCAACAGTACAAATGGCTCTGGGTTTTCTATAACCTCTGTCTCTTCTCTCATCAGTAAAATAGGAATAAAGGTGTTGCAGTTGCTGGGAGGACTAAAACAGATTTGGTGGAGTCAGGCACACAGCCAATCAGGTGTACTGTGGTTAAAATGAAATTCTTAAAAGTGAGTTCAAGCGCCAGCTTTGCCACTTACTAGTTCTGTGACCCCTCTCTTCTTCTGCAAAATGCTAATTAAAAATTTTATATACCAAGAACAAGTTAACTGGCAGTGGGGTAAAGGTGTTATGAGGTCCTATTTTTCTTGCCTTTTACCTTAAGAGGTATTCTTATTTTTTTCCTATTTTTTAGGCAGGGTCTTGGCGAGCTGCCCAGGGTGGTCTCCAACTCCTGGCCTTAAGTGATCCTCCCACCTCAGCATCCCAAGTGTTGGGAATGGGACTACAGGTGCGAGACACTGAGTCTGGTCTAAGAAAAGCATGTTCTTTTTGGTTTTTTGTTTTTTTGAGACCGAGTCTCGCTCTGTTGCACAGGCGAGTGCAGTGGAGCGATCTCGGCTCACTGCAACCTCCACCTCCCAGATTCAAGCAATTCTCTTGCCTCAACCTCCCGAGTAGCTGGGATTACAGATGTGTACCACCACGCCCAGCTAATTTTTTGTATTTTTAGTACAGACGGGTTTCACCGTACTAGCCAGCATGGTCTCGATCTCCTGACCTCATGATCCGCCTGCCTTGGCTTCCTGAAGTACTGGGATTACAGGCGTCCAGCCAGAAAAGCGTTATTTATAAGAGGTAACTCTCCTCTGCTAAGTAGTTACATCATGCCAGTTAGTAGATACATTTTCCTCAACTGAGGAAAATAGTCAAAATTTACTGTACTCCCCAGGTACTTCAGCTTCTGCATTCCCTGATTGTTCAAGGTCTCTGCTCTCTACTCAGAGATCGGAATAAGCTTGTTATGGCTTTAAGAGATGGTCCTGGCCGTGTGCAGGGGCTCACACCTGCAATCTCCGCACTTTGGGAGGCCGAGGAGGGCAGATCACTCGAGGTCAGTTCAAGACGAGCCTGGCCAATGTGGCAAAACCCCATCTGTACTAAAAATACAAAAACTAGCTGGGTGTGGTGGTGGGTACCTGTAAACCTCTGGAGGCTGAGGCAGAATTGCTTGAACCCAGGAGGTGGAGGTTGCAGTGAGCCGAGATCGAGTCTGGGCAAGAGCGAGGCTCCACTTAAAAAAAAAAAAAAAGTTGCCAGCCAACAAGTTGGGCAGAGTGGCTCATGCCTGTAATCCTGGCACTTTGGGAGGCCAAGGCAGGCAGATTGCTTGAGCCCAGTAGTTTTGAGACCAGCCTAGGAACACAGTAAAACTGTTTCTAAAAAAAACCAAAGATGAGCCAGGCATGGTGGTGCCCACCTGCAGTCCCAGCTACTTGGGAGGCTGGGGCAGAGAATCACTGGAGCCCGGGAGGTGGAGGTTGCAGCAAGTCACGACTGCACACCAGGCTGGGCAGCAGGAGTGAAACGTTGTCTGAGCTGGCAAAAACACTACATAGTTCCCAAGAAAAATGAGGTCTGAATTTTAATATTCTGGTCTGGATAATAAATCCAATGTAGATCAGAAACTATACCCCTGACCCAAGGTTTTATATACAGTAGCTCACTCATTTGTTAAATAAGGAGTTCTGAGCTCTCCAAGATACCATTTTTGAACTGAAGTGACCTAAAAGAACAGAGGGTTTAAAAACAATCTTAAAAAGGTTCCATTCCAAGGAACTAGAATACCCAGGTTTCTATGCCGTGAAACTTGCTGATGTAAAGGAGATACTATAATAAAGATCAAAAGGATATTAAAGGTTCAAATAGGCCGGGCGCGGTGACTCAAGCCTGTAATCCCAGCACTTTGGGAGGCCGAGACGGGCGGATCACGAGGTCAGGAGATGGAGACCATCCTGGCTAACCCGGTGAAACCCCGTCTCTACTAAAAAGTACAAAAAACCAGCCAGGCGAGGTGGTGGGCGCCTGTAGTCCCAGCTACTCGGGAGGCTGAGGCAGGAGAATGGCGTAAACCCGGGAGACGGAGCTTGTAGTGAGCTGAGATCTGGCCACTGCACTCCAGCCTGGGCGACAGAGCGAGACTCCGTCTCAAAAAAAAAAAAAAAAAAAAAAGGTTCAAATAGAAGGGTCATTCCTCCCAAACCACCCCTAAGTCTTAGCCCACAAAGGGAAGGACATTATGCTCCAATGCAGCGGTAGAGCTGTCACCAAAAAAATTCTAGCAATCAGTGACCACCAATTGTTTCTTCAGAAAAAGTAACCCACTGGCTGGGTGTGGTGGCTCGCACCTTATTACCAGCACTTTGGGAGGCCGAGGTGAGTGGATCACCTGAAGTCAGGAGTTTGAGACCAGCGTGACCAACATGGAGAAACCTCGTCTCTACTAAAAAATACAAAATTAGCTGGGCATGGTGGCGCATGCCTGTAATCCCAGCTACTTGGGAGGCTGAGGCAGGAGAATCACTTGAACCCAGAAGGCAGCAGCTGTGATGAGCCGAGATCGTGCCACTGTACTCCAGCCTACGCAACAAGAGAAACTCCGTCTCAAAAAAACCAAACCAAACCAAATCAAACCAAACAAACAAAAAAAACAAGAAAAAGTAATCTAAAAATTACAGGGTCTCCAAATACCATACAGAAGCAAAATTTGTATACTAACACATTATAACAGAAAAAGAAAAAAATCATACATACAGCAAGTCTTTTCATTTTTATTACTCAAAAAAGTTTCATTTTTTTATTTAGCTTTTTGACTCTGTGCTTGTGCCTTCAACACTTTCACAACGATCTTCTGCTCCTCGATAAGGAAAGCACGCTTGATCCTAGAAAGGAAAATACCAAATTAATCGTTTCTTTAAAATGAACTTCATTTTTTATGTAGCATAGAGAAGGCAAACATGGTAAAACAACTAAGCAAAGCAATCAGGGAAGCCAGGAAACTACAGGAAGCCCACAAATACACAGTAAAACTTAAAAGCTAAAATTCATTTACAGCAGGATAATCCTTCAATTTCATGCCAGGAGTTATCTGTTCTTCTCAGTCAAGATAAACTATAAAGTCATCCCCACAGGAGACCACTTATGAGAGTTCTAATTTATTGTTAGGATCCAGGAATAGTGGTATTTCTTGATTTGCAAAACGTCTTAGAATATTTTAACCCTATTTATGAAAATTCCCAGTAAAAAACAACACAGAAGGGGCTATGTGCTAAAAACTAAATTAAAAGGTAAAGGGATATTAGCAAGAGACACCTCACCAAAAGCTAGGGTTTTAGAGCCTGTTTACAGCCAATTCCACCATACACTAGCTGCACACTGGACAAGTTACCTTCTCTATATTAAGGTACAACATAGTTTCACACCTATTTAACAGGCAGTTTATGAAGATTAAATTTGGAAAGATTTTCTCGTCTTTGAACCTCCATCTGGGAGTGCATTTTACGGATCACTATCATTACAGTGTTGTACAGGACCTAGCAAAAAGCAGGTCTTCCTAGCATTTGTTCAATCAGTTACCAAGAGAGGTAAAGCACTCCTCCTGCTTCAACTTAAACCTTCCCCCACCCCATTTCCCATTGGTAACCCTGGTTATCAAATAACCTAGCCTCAAAACTCTGGGTTTTCTAATTTCTTCAAATCTCCCCCAAGTGATCCTATCAGAGACACATATAACTGATGTCACTTAAAAATTCCCTTAACTTACTTAAAGCACAGACCACATGCAGACCTGCTCAGCATCACAGCTAACAATGCTAACTTCTAGGCTATCCTGTAAACTTAAGTTCAAATCTTCAGGAGATAAGGCCTGAGAATTTGTATTTTTAATAAATTTTTAATAAATGTGCCCATCTGATTTTGTGTTCAGCAAAGTTTTAGAACCAAAGGCTGGGGGAAAAAAGCCAAACTTCCTCAGCTTAAAACTCATGACTTAAATCCAATGTACATTTCCATTTTCACCCACAATGTGCCAGATCAGTCTGTACTTTCCTTGCCTGGAATGCCCTTTCTGCACTCCAGGCTGGGCTACAGAGCGAGACTCTGTCTCTAAATAAATAAATAAAGCTAATCTACCTTTTATTCTGCAAAATCCCTCATAATCTGGCTTTTCTTTTCTTTTTTTTGAGACAGAGTTTCGCTCTTGTTGCCCAGGCTGGAGTGCAATCAATGGCGCAATCTCAGCTCACCACAACCTGTGCCTCCCAGCTTCCAGTAATTCTCCTGCCTCAGCCTGAGTAGCTGGGATCACAGGCATGCGCCACTACGCCTTTTCGTATTTTTAGTAGAGACGAGGTTTCTCCATGTTGGTCAGGCTGGTCTCAAACTCGCAATCTCAGGAGATCTGCCTGCCTCCGCCTCCCAAAGTGTCGGGATTACAGGCGCAAACCACTGCACCTGGCCATAATCTGGCTTTTCTATCTTTGTTGTCCATCATCTCCTGAAACCCTATGCTCCAGGCACATGAGAACACACAGCTCTTCTGTTCCTACACTTTTAACACCTTCCACACTCCATCTATGTTTGTCCAAACCACTAAGAGACTTTCTTACCCACCTCCTGAACAAAACCAAGTTCCTTTTAATCTCCACATCTAGCATAAATATGTCCCCAAATTGTTACTCTGAATATCATTTCTTGCTTTGTGCAGCATCAATTATCCATAGTGAAGGAAGGATTCTCAAGAACGCAACTGGTTTAAAATGAGTTGTTTCACCATTGTACTGATTAGCACACAGTGTAACATACACACACAAGAATCTGCTAAAGAAAGCCCATTTAAGCATTTAACTTACCTGTCACGAACACATTTAGCACACATGGAACCACCATAGGCCCTGCTGACATGTTTCTTTGTTTTGGACAATCTCATAAGAACTTTAGGTCTTACAGCACGAACCTGCATAAGAAAAACATTAAGATTATTTTGTGATGCTTTAACAGAAATTTCCCTAAATTTTGTTAAGTGTTAAGGGCAAGTTTAAAGTAGGTTACAAAGGGAAATAGTATACTGATTTATCTGAAAGGCATTTCACCGCATTTCTCAGATTGGTTTAAAAAGTCTACGTTCTTGGCAGATTTGGCTCATGGATGATTAGTAATTCTCAACCCCCTTAGTGGTAACCTCTCCTTGATTCATTCCATCATGAAGGGATGAAAGCTCAACAAGTTCAAGACTTGTTAGGTTGCTCAAAGTAAAAGGTACACTTACCCCTCGAAGTCTGCCTGGGCACACACCACATGCAGATTTTGGTGCTTTCCCAACCTTCTTGGTATAAAGGTAAACAATTCTATTACCAGGGGTTCGGGACCTAGAAAGTGAAACAGTCAATAGGTTAGCATTTTGTAGAGTAAATGATAATCCATACTTAAAATTTTTAGAAATACTTACAGCCTAGTTTTGTTAGAGGCTGTATTGTAGGAAAGCCTACGTCGGTATGTCAAACGTTGGACCATTCTGAGTGCCTAAATTAAGAACAGAGTAATATCAAGTCTTTCCATTGTAATAGTAGATAAAATCTCAAAACAGCATTATGTGGTCTATTTCATTCACGTACAAATCCTTGTATGTAACACCCTTAAATTAAGATGTATTATTTATGGAACATTTCCACCTTTCAAAACTACTTGTATTTAAAGGTGACTGATAAACAAGAGGCCAAGAATGTTAGCTTTCCTGATGGTAATCAAATGTGGTACTTCCTTAACATGGTGACGACCAGGCTCCTTACTCAGAGTCTGATTTTGTTTGGAGTGGTGTCCAGAAAAGGGCTACGAGACAAGTTGGAGAAACACTGCTTTCAACAAAGAGCAGAAGAAGTGAGCTCTGAAGTCCAATCCTTAACTATGCCATTTATTGGGAATACACAGGGCAAGGAGCTAGCCTCCTTCTCTCTAAAATGGGAATACTGCCTACTTTATACAGCTGTCATTAGGATTAAACGACGAGAGCTATCCCTCCCAACACAATGCCTGGAACATGTATCAGGGTTCAATGTCTTGCCCTAAAGCACCACCTGCATAAAGGCATACCGTTTAATACTAATTTTGGTATTACACAAGTTTCCTTGGGTTATGACACCTGCTTTCTTCCCACTTCTGGCAACTTGATGTTATTTAGCAAAGCGGTTATACAGATATGCATATGAGCAACTTTGTTAAGTGAACTACCCAAAGTAAAACATAATCAACATTTGAACTAATTGTCTTCCCATTCCGCACCTTGTAACCACTTCATAACATTATTTTGTTATTTAAAAGAGCCTGCATTTGTTGTCACAAGCCTCTCATTATAAAATTAAACTCAAACAGAACTACCAGACACCAAAACTTGACACGTAAAGTCAGTGCGAGTGATTTACGAAGCCACTATTCTGTTTGCATCTCCAAAAGCAAGACAGAAACTTCTCTCTCACTAACAGACATGGGCCTTGGAAACAGAAGCCAAATAGCGAAACCACCACCCGAACTTGCCGGTCCCCGCCCTCCCAAAGACTAAGGACGTGTACAGGCGTGCTGTGGAAACGTGGGTGCAAAATCTGAAAACGTTCGGCGATTTCCCAGTCTCAGACCGCCAAACCACAACTCGTTTGTCTCCAAACGCTGCACTTGGAAAGGAGCAAACTCCCGGGTGGCGAGCTCTGGCTACTCGCGGCTTTGGAGGGGCCACCAAGAACAAGGGATTTCCGAAGATCAAAGAAAGGAACTTCCTCACCACCAACCTCCCTGTTGTGCCCCTTACCCCTACGCCAGCTCAAATGAATGCTCCTGAGAGCGCTAGGCTTCCTCAGCTCCTCGGATGGCAGCCGATTGTGAAGGAAATAAAGACAGGGAAAATAGAACAACAACCATACCTGCAGACAACGTCCCCGGAAGAGGAAGAAAAATGCCTTTGCGAGTTCAAAGGTCAAATAGAATTGCGCAGGACAGGAAGTTGCGTCAGAACCAGCGGCACGGCGGAGAGTGCGTATCCGTGTTGTACGGAAGCCGACGCACCTCTCCGACGTGGGCGGAGATGCAGGGAACCGCCACGTTGTACGGCAAGCAACTTGCCGCCCCACTGTGGGCGGGGATGCAAACTGGCTGTCTCTGTCAAGGCCACGCAGAAATCTATTGGGAATCGCTGTAGAAACAAACGCAAATGACAAGCCGCAAAGGGCAGAGGTGGGACAAAGTCAACTTCCTTCGTTTTCATGGAAGCTACATGTTTAATCTAAAGGGCTCCAGCTCTGTCGTTAGACCTGTGTTTAAATCCCAACTCTTGACATTTATGGTTAAGGGACCTTCGAGGACCTTCCCTTCTTTAACCTTCCCTTCTCTTTCCTTGTCATTTATTCAGAGCACAAGCTTTACAAACAAATTGGGATTTTAATCCAGTGTCTGCTAATTATTAGCTGTGTTACTTTGAGCAAGCCCTTAAATCTCTAAAAGGAAGATATTAGGAACTACCCTGCCGTGTTATGTCATGATCAAAGGCATTATGAAGTTAAAACACTTAGCACAGGGTCTTATAGAGAGGAAGTGCTCAGTAAATGATTGCTAATCTTATGATTATGTACAAAGAGCTACTTGAGGCTTTTCATGGGTGGTAAAGTTTAACCTTTAAAACAGTACGTAAAATTTTACATTAAGTGCACGTGTGTATTTTTCTGAGAGGAGGGTCCCTGGCTTTCATCACCCTGTCAAAGGGATTCATGACCTCTAAAAAAGTAAAGAACTCTTTGCCTGGGCTCTAAGGGAGAATGCTAAAAGGGACCTTTAAGTTTTTAGTCTTAGATTAGGCTCCCTGGAAACACACCTCAGAGAGACTTGAGTGTTGGTTTATGGGGAGCGCTCTTAGAATGCACCTCCAGGAAGCTGAGAAAGGTGGGGTCAGGTGATTCACAATGTGGTTGCAACTGAGGCCTCAGCTGTTCCAACAGGGAGCTCTGGAATTAGGATAAACAACATAGTTGTCCCAAACAAGCTAGGAAGCTCTGCCTTTGTGCTCCCACATCAGCCAGTTCTTGGCATGCTGCTCCCTGACCATGGGTGAAGCACTTTCCTGAAGCTGAAGGTAACGTCCAGTGAGGAAGAGAGCTGTGAGGCAGCTGCATTGCCCCAGAAGAGAGGATTTGGGTAGAATATCCCAGTACCCACTCAAATTTCCTTCTAGGATTTCTAATCCATCTGGCAAATCAAGAAAGCAGGCAAGTGACTGAGGGCATGTAGTCTGTCTTGAACTGTGAGGCCTATTAATTCTATCAAGCCTCCCATCACTGCCATCTTTGTCACAACACCAGATGGAAGGCTCTGGTTATATCCTTCCCTCTGCTCACTCTCAAATAGCTGCTTCTCCCCTGACCTTGTCATCAACTGCTTCCCTCTTTACCAGTCCTTTGATTTTTGTCTTCTGAAATCTTTTTCGTCTCTGTGCCAGGCATTGAGATGGAAGCTTGCATAGAGAGACAAATGTGGTTTTTGAATAAATGCACAAATGAATATATTTACTTGCAATATGTTCTCTATATTTCAAGAGAAACTTTGCAGAGCAGAAGAGAACAGGAGATGGGAGCCCTTGCCACATTATATTGTTGTTTACATCTCTGTCCGTGCCTTCGCCCACCCCAGTAGATAAGAATAGTGGTCTCATTATTGTAGTTTTCCCTTAAGATACTTAATCCAGTTCCATAATACTATTTTTCCCTCTCTTTAAATTTGTATTTGCATTTTTTCTTGATCAGTCTTGAGAGAGAGATGGCGATCTTATTAAAAACTTCAAAGACAGCCAGGTACAGTGGCTCATGCCTGTTAATCCTAGCACTTCGGGAGGCTGGTACAGAAAGATCGCCTGAGACCTGGAGTTAAAGATCAGCCTGGGCAACATAGGGAGATGCCCATCTCTGCAATTTTTTTTTTTTTTTTTAGTTAGCCAGGTGTTGTAGCACATGCCTTTAGTCCCATCTACTCAGGAGGCTGAGGCTGGAGGATCACTTAAGCCTAGAAGTTTGAGGCTGCAGTGAACCATGATTGTGCCACCATACCCCAGCCTGGGCAACAGAATGAGATCCTGTCTCAATAATAATAATAATAATAGGTGTATGAAACTTTGGTATATGACAAAGGTAATAGATTGGTGGGGAAAGATTTGTGACTATTCAGTAAATGAAGTTGGGAAAAATGGTTATACATATGAAAAGAAAAAAAATTGTATCCTTAAGTCACTCTACACAGAAAAAAAAAAACCTTAAATGAGTCAATAATAAGGCTTTAATTTATTAGGAAATATAGGTGAATATCTTATAGACCTTGGAGTAGAAAAGGATTTTTTAAATATGACACAAAAAGCGCAAACTCAGAAAAGACCAATAAATCTGACCACATTACAATTAATAGCTTTTATCCAAAAACCCTTAAATAAGCAAATGTTAAACCTCAAAGATTCCCAGTCCAAGCCAAAAAAAGTATGATAGGTTCACTTTATTTTAATTTCACAAAAATTTGTAAAATATGTAGTAAGTGCACACAGAAATTAATGAACAGAGAACAAAGAGAGATTAAAAAAATAAATGAGATTATTTAAGCCAGGTGTGGTGGCTCACGCCTGTAATCTCAGCACTGTGGGAGGCCAAAGCAGGTGGATAACTTGAGGCAAGGAGTTCGAGACCAGCCTGGCCAACATGGAGAAACCTCGTCTCTACTAAAAATACAATAATTAGCTGGGCGTGGTGGCAGGCACCTCTAATTGCAGATACTCAGGAGGCTAAGGCACGAGAATCACTTGTGCCTGGGAGGTGGAGGTTGCAGGGAGCCAAGATTGCACCACTGCATTTCCGCTGAAGTTTGCCAGCCTGGGCAACATAGAGAGACTCTGTCTCTAAAAAAAAATTTTTAAGGGATTTTGTACATGTGATTATGATTACTAATCTGTAGACTAAAAATGAAGCCAAAATTAGAAGGAGAATGAAGGAATGTGTTACAAGACACCAACAGCTTTTGTTATGCTAAAAATAGAATTCATTATTGGCAGTTGTTTTTTCTTTCTTTCAGTACTTTGAATATATAATTATATTGGATTTTTTTTTTTTACTTCCATAATCTATTGAGAAGTCAGAAATTATTATTATTATTTTTTTGCTTCTTTAAAGAGAATTTGTCTTTTTTCTCTGGTAGTCCTCTAAAACATTTTCTCTTTAGATTTAGTTTCTAGTAGTTTTAGTATGATATGCTTAGGTTTGCTCTTCTTTTTATTCTGTGGGTTGATAGGGACATTTAAGTCTATATCTTGATCTCTTTCATGAGGTTTAGAAATTTCTCACCCATTTATTTGTTCAAATATTGTTCCTGCCCCATTCCCCACTCTCTTTCTGGGACTGCAGTTGCATACTGTATCCATATCACTGTATCTCAAGATATTTTTCCTGGTAATCAGTTGCTGCATAACAAACCATTGCAAACTTAGTGGCATAAAATAACCATTTTAGTATGCTCATTGATTACATGGATCAGGAATTTCTACATGGTATAATGAGAATAGTTTGCCTTTACTATGTAATGATTGGAGCCTCAACTCAGGGGTAACTTGAACAGCTAAGGTGTGCATGGGTTCTCTAGAGAAACAGAATCCATAGGATATACATTTATTTATTTATTATAGGAATTGGCTCATGTGATTATGAAGGCTGAGGGGCCCTACAATCTGCAATCTGCAAGCTGGAAAACCAGGACAGTTGGTGGTATGAGCCCTAGTCTGAGTCCAGAGTCCCAAAAGCCAGGAGTGCTGATGTTCAAGAACAGAGAAGATGAATGTCCCAGCTTAAGCAGAGAGAAACTTCACTCTCCTCCACATGTTTTTCTATTCAGACCCTCAACAAATTGGATGATACTCACCAACACTGTTAAGGCAATCTTCTTTACTTAGTATACTGATTCCAATGCTAATCTCTTCTGGAACCACCTTCACAGACACACAGAAATAATGTTACCAGCTCTCTGGGCATCTCTTAGCCCAGTCAAGTTGACACATGAAATTAATCATCAGGCTGGGCATGGTGGCTCACACCTGTAATCCCAGTGGCTTTGGGAGGCCAAGGTGGACAGATTGCTGGCATTCAGGAGTGTGAGACCAGCCTGGGCAACATGGCAAAACCCCATCTCTACCAAAAATACAAAAAGTTAGCCAGGTATGGTGGTGCACACCTGTGGTCTCAGCTACTCAGGAGGCTGAGAGGATCACTTAAGCCTGGGAGGCAGAGGTTGCAGTAAGCTGAGATGGTACCACTGCATTCCAACCTGAGTGACAGACTGAGACCCCATCTGAAAAAAAAAAAAAGAAATTAATCATCACGGGGTGGGGGTAGAGGGCGGAATTATCTGAATTCTTTTTAGTTTAATGCCTGGATTGGGCTGCTTCAAAGGCTGGGATCTCATGTGGAACTGTCAACCAGAGCAACTACATATAGCCTTTCTATAAAGCTTAGAATTCTCACAAACATAATGTGACACATACGTAATGCTTGGGAATGATAATAAATGACTTGATACAGTACATAATGCTTGGGAATGATAATAAATGACTATGTTACTGGTTTATGTATTGACTATACTATACTTTTCTCATTATTTTATTTATTATTATTATTTTTTTGAGACGGAGTCTCACTCTGTCACCCAGGTTGGAGTGCAGTGGTGTGATCTTGGCTCACTGCAACCTCCGCCTCCTGGTTCACACTATTTTCCTGCTTTTAATCTCTTTACTTGATCTCTTACAAAATTCCTTTATTAATCCTGTGATTATTTGTGAATAGGCCAATTACAGTCATGTGTTGCTTAATGACAGAGATACATTCTGAGAAATGTGTGGTTTCGTCTTTGTGTGAACATCGT